TTGGCCTTTCCACTTCTTCGTTGATTCCTATATCACGTTTTTAATGATCTCAGATTTTAGTGTGTTCGTCGATTCCTAACCCATTCAGCTATCTTCTCCTGCAATCGAGAGAAAAGCAAGTGAAGGGCGGTGAATCACAAAATCATGAACGAAAGTTTATTGTTTCGGACAAACCCGAGCAGTCTACTCAGATCGAACAAAAGTGAGAAGTGAACTGCCAAATCTGGGATGGTAGGTTTGGACAAAGTATGCTCCTCGGGGTCCAAATTCGCCTCAAATGATTTCGTCCGGTAAGATCTCAGCCCGGAAAATGATTCGTTGTGAATCTGCTTCCTCTGTACTTTGTTGATCCATGTTTTTTGCAATGTTTTACTTCTGCATCAGAATATTCGCAGACTGAAAGCATTGTTTTGTGTAGTCAGTTTATTCCACGTAAGCGCAAACTGGAAACTTGATATAATAGTTCGTATTGTCTTCTGGGTTGGACAGCTCCAACATCACAATTTGGTCAAAACTAAACGATGAGAGATCACCAATGAGAGATAAATGCCAAATATTCAGTGACTTTTCTCGAGATATTTTAATTCGTTTTTACTTTCATATGTTTAGATTTACAAAAAAACATTCGTACACTCCAACTCTCGCTTTTCTTATTATCTGTGTTCAATAAAAATGAAATCATTCAATAATTTCCATTTTGTTTGTTGTTTTCCTTTTTGCTAAAGGGTTACCATTTTGTTTGTTGTTTTCCTTTTTGCTAAAGAGTTACCATTTTGTTTGTTGTTTCAGGTTATGGCAACACACCAGTCTTGATCCGAACATTATGCATGTACCTTACAAGTTTGATATGATGGAGAAGGCTCTTAAGCTAACATACTAAACGTCTTGCTTCAAATTTTCTCTCCAGTGTTTTGCCAGCTGTTTCAACACTCAAATTTATTCTTACAGCCAAATTTAAGGTAATCGTGCTGTACCATTCTTTTTTTCTGTGTGCTGTTTTATCATCTTAGATTCGAAGGGAATATTTCAATTACTTTTTACTGAATGAATTATTGTGTTCATTACATATTCAATAATATCTTTTTAGTGGGGAATGAGATAGAGCAACTGTGGAATTTGTCTTATTTCAATTGGGATACTTAAAACTATCCATTTGCTTTAAACGTTTTCAAATGTTATTTGATCATGTACCTTAATATCAAATATCAATACCCCAAGACTTACAAGAGGTTAACTTTTTCCCTTACTATCTCACTCTGCTATATACTGATTAAACAGTAAACGCTTTATATTTATAGATATGATGCATTTGTCTCCTGGCAAATCCCAAGTTGCCAGCTATGCTGTACAAGCTTCAGTCTAGCCAGAAAGCTCCAGTTGCTTTGGTGCCAAACTTGGAAGACGCTAGGAACATAGGAGTTTATAAAAAGGTAATCAAATTATAATTTCTGTGAAATTTTGTAAGATAACTTTTGTCATTAGGATTTCTATTTCTTCACATATTTCTTTTTTTCTAAACTACCAAGTCTTAGGTTTTAACATATATATAGGGATAAAGTTTTGGTTGTAAGACTCATCCAAGCTAAAAAGTTCTTTCGAGGTTTCTCTTGGGTAGCCGAGGGAAAGTTCATTCTTTAACAGTTATAAAATAAATTAAGATGCAGCGTTTGGAGATATGGATTTTGTTTTTCTTATTTTCTTCAAGCTTCGCATTTGCATTCTCTCCTCCGCATATGGGTTTTAGTTTCTTCTTGTTTACAGAAAACCTCCCTATTTCATTCATATTTCAGGCGGAGCATACTATTTCCAACTTCACCTCCCATCAAGGTCGACACCGCTGAATAGCGGCTGGAGATACTTGGAACGATATGGTTATCATTATGGAAGTGATTATACACGCCCTCTACTTGCCATTGATCAATTTGTTTATAAGGTTTGCTTTTCTGATGAAACAGTGTGTTTTAGTGATAATTCTTAATTCAATTGTATGATCCATCGTCCTCATTTTTGGTATAAAGAGTGTGAATTGCTAAATTCTTCTGTTTCTGTGTCTATGTTTCAGGCGCCACACTTGCAGCTAGAGCCACTGTGTTGCTATTTATCGAATTTGAGTATTTTAGATTACAAAGCTGTGAAGTTTGTGCCATCTTTGTTAGCTATTTTAATTTTCTCTACAAGCTGCTGCTGCTATCTCAGTTTCAATTGTAAAAAAACGTTCTCTTAGAAGATCCGTCTTCAAGGTGATGCATCCAAATCTCTCAAATACCTTTTCTATTTCGATCTCTATAAGCATAGAGATTCACACATGAGACTAAACTTTGGATTTGCGTTCTTTAAGCTCGTGTTTGTTTGATTCTTGAGTTTGATCATAAGCCTTATCCTTGCTTGTGATGTACCACTTTTTCCTTTTGCAGCAGAACTATAGCATAAACTTCAACAGTAAGCCATGGTCATCTTCCTTAGCATTGAACCAAAGAACAACAAGCATAGGGGATTCAAAACGGTTCACGAACTCAACAATATGCATGTCGGTTCAGCAAACAAGTAGCTCCAGGGTCTCTGTCTCTCCTATAGAGTTGGAAGACCCTAAAGATCCTCCATTGCACTTGTACAAACCCAAGGAAGCTTACACAGCCAAGATCGTCTCCGTGGAGCGAGTCGTTGGCGCAAACGCCCCAGGAGAAACTTGCCTTACGTCATCTATCATGACGGTAACCTTCCTTACTGGGAAGGACAGAGTTACGGTGTGATCCCTCCAGTGAGTCATGTTCCCTTGTGCTCTTATATTTTTTCATTGTCTTAAGTCAATCTTATTCTATTAATCTTGTGCGTGTAGGGTGAGAATCCGAAGAAACCAGGAGCCCCACATAATGTGCGCCTTTACTCCATTGCATCAAGTGGTATGGAGATTTCTTTGACGGTAAGACAGCGAGTTTGTGTGTGCGAAGATCCTTCAAAGAACAGCGTCTGCAGCAACTTCCTATGTGATTCAAAGCCCGGAGACAAGATTCAAATCTCTGGTATGTTAACTAAATACATATAGACACCTTGAAAGAAGATTTTTTGGACTTAATATAATTTTTCGAAACCAGGTCCATCGGGGAAGGTAATGCTATTACCAGAGGATGATCCAAACGCGACGCACATAATGATAGCCACGGGAACAGGAGTGGCTCCTTACAGAGGCTACTTACGTCGAATGTTCATGGAAAACGTACCAAACTACAAATTTGGCGGCTTAGCTTGGCTCTTCTTGGGTGTGGCCAACACGGATAGTCTTCTCTTCTCTAGGACGATGAGTTTAGCAAGTACTTAAAAGAACATCCGGAGAACTTTAGGTATAAAATTTTGTATTAGTCACAACCCGCGCATCGCGCGGGCTTAGCCCTAGTTTTTATAAATGCACCAAAAACTAAACTCTACACCTACCAATATAAACCCTACACCCTAAACCCTAACCCCATTTATAACCCCCCCTAACATCCTAAACCCTAATCCCACATTATTAACCCTTTCTCCCATACCATATACCATAACCCTAAATTATAAATTGGTTCTGAAATTGCTTTTATTGTTTAGTTTTTCTAAAAGAAATTGTTGTTATTTTTCTTTTGAATCGGCAATGTTCATATTAAATTGATAAGGAAAAAATGAATAAAATATATTTATAATGGTTGCAAGTTGTGCGAACATATAGTTATTAATAAATCTACAAACACAAAATCCATCATTGAAATACTTGAGGACAAAGCTGATAATGTAAACAAAATAGAGAAAAAATGATGTAAACAAAATACAAAACACAGTTCCAACTTCCATCATTACAAGGACTTGATGAGGAGAAGTGAGTCAAGTGACAATATCTTTGCATAAAACCCATCAACAAATATTCATTTCTAAGACATAAGACTGAGAAACACATCGGCATCACCAAAAATATAAAATACCTCCAAATTTCCTTGAACCTGTAGCTTTTAATGCTTGGGAGCCAACAAGTGAGAGAGAGATTAGAGAAAAGAGATGTTTTAGAACAACACGAAAGACAAATAGTTGCCAAATCTTTAATGTTTAGAAGACAAATAGATACAATGTTCGTGTGAGCATAAAAGATTAAGCGATTATTCATTTTCTCCCTAAACCCTAAACCCCGGCAACGGCCCCAGTTTGAAAACAAGATTTTTAGTAGATTCAAACCTTCAAATCCCTGCTCATATTATCGGAGTGTAGTTAAGGTATCAATCCAAATCTCGGAGAAGATTGGGTTTTAAAGAAGTGCAAGAAAGCTTCAAGCCAAGAACAAAGATTTGGTTTTTAGGAAATCCGAACGTTAAACAGTAAAATACAAACTTAGAACAATAAATTAACGGTCCAAATCCGAATTCAAAGGCAAAGGTTTCGACTTTGAGCTAAAAGACTTGAACTTTATAAAAGGAAATGAAGAAAGGCGATGGCTTTAGGTGATTGCGGATGAAAATCGAGCTAAAGGAAGAGACTTTAAGACTTAGAAGATAAAACCGAGTTTCTAGGCTAAGGAAAACGAAAGCGAGGGTTCATCACTATCGTGAATAAGCTCGAATGCAAGGTTCAAACTCAAGAGCTGACTATCGTCAGTGAGCTTGTACACGAGCAAGCTTTAAACGCAGATCCCAACACCAAAGAACCCTCTAAAAAAACCGCTATCGCGGGATAGAGGAGTAGATCCCTTATCTTAGATTTTCTAGCTCTCAAACACACTTTTGTTGTGTTGAGAGCTTGAGATCCGAGCCAGAATGATCAGAAATGGCAAGGCCTTAAGGATACTAAGAAAGGAGAAACTCTAAAGGTCCTAGCTTTAAGCTCAGACTTTCCCTATAAACTCTCAGAACCGAATCACCTAAAACGATCTAATGACTACTCACTCATCCTGTTTGACAAACCGATTCTCATAGAGGAAAGGTTGTTGAACAAGTAAATGAAATGTGATGAACAAACGAGTAAGCAAGTACGTGATTTAGATTAAAGGAAAAAGATCAAAGCTTACAAAGTCTAAGATCTCGAACTAGAGTATTTCTTGGTGGCAAAATGAAAGACAAATTACAAGATGCCTAAAATCTTAGGACTTTTTAGTTTATATAGTGGAGACTCTAAAACCCTTCTTCCTCTCCTTTCACTTAGGCATGGTCAATTCTGACTTCTTGGTCAAGGAAAGCTTGTAAGGCGACAAACGGGTTCCTGATCCTGGTTCACATCCTGATTGCTCTTCGTATTGACGTCTCTGACACTCCTACTTCCCAAACGGCTCCAAAGTTCCATTAAGCACCTGATTCAGACTCAAAATGCAATGTATATGCAATGCAAGTCCTAATGAAGATGCAAGTGTATAGATAGAGATATATGGATATAAATGTATGAGAATGAGACTTAGAAGGTGAAAATATGCATGTAAAAGTATGCTAAAGTATGTTAATATATGTGTATATCAACACCCCCAAACTTGAATCTTGCTTGCCCTCAAGCGAGAAGAACAAATCCGAGAGATGTTGATATGTCGAGGACTCAAAATTCAAGGGTGCAATGAGAGGAAACGAAGTCAATGATCGAGTTGAGAATCATAAAATGCAAGGCGAACGAGCTCTACTTCCAAAATTTTAGCCACACCAATCAAAGCAACAGGGAGACAATAGACTCAACTTACACAATGCATTCAAATAACTCTCATCCTTTAACATTCCATTATTTCAGAACCGTGAATCAACCGCTTATGCATTTCAAAGAACTCGCTTGGCTCAAAGGGTAAGTTTCAAAGGACAAAGATGCTCCTGTTTTCTGGTTTCAAAATCAGCTCAAGGGATCTCTCAAAGAAAAAGGTTGAGCTTTAGTAGAATGCTAAGGGTAAAAACCAAGGATGATACAAGGCTAGACTTTCATCTACCCGAGAACAATGAAGCACAATCCCTTATTTCCCAAGAATCCTATCTACCCAAGAAAGCATAAGTTGCTTTGACCTTTCAATCGGAACCTTTTATTTTCTTTGCTTTCAAGCCTTTAGGAAAGGTTTCTAAACTTCATCTAGCGGTTTGGGATTTTTCTTTTATTTGGCTTTTTAGACTCTTTTTCTAAACTTGGCTTTTGCCCTTTCTTTCTCTTCTTTTTCTAGCTAGAGCTTAACTTTCTTTTCCAAACCTTAATAGAGAGCTACACTTTCACAACTCTTCCCTCCTAAGAGACTCGGCTTAAAACTTTTCTTTCCCTTTTTAGGACTTTCTTTTTGGAATTTATCTTTCTCTCTTCTTCCTTTTAAGAACTTCCCCAACCCCCAAATGGTGTTCCCCCAAACTTAGTCCTAACTAGCTCAAAAAAACGAGCTAGAATCTACAAGGAAGCCTAGACCTTGTCGGTAAAAACCCAACACTTTCTATCAAGCTCAACCAAAAAGGCCTCTCACACTCAGAAATAGCGAATTGGTTTCAAAGAAAGTTTGGTTCAAGGTGGGGAAATCTACTTGGATTAACAAGAGTGGTGAAAAGGGTGAAAGATAATCCAAGTATGTATATTCATCCACGAGTTCTTAGCAAATAGACAAGGATGATAATTAGACATTCAAATTCAGGTTTCGATAGGCAGGATGAGAGATCAAATCACAACAATGCTTCAGCCAAATCTAGATATCAAAGAGTGCATTCAAGCTGTGGTTCTTTCTTAACTTCAAGCTTGCTCTATATGCACCAAATGATTCAAAACCGTATCATTGAAACCATTTCAAAAAATCACAGCCTCTTATTTCTCATTGTCCTCAATGCAAATGAAATGATATGTATCTAGACTCAATCCTAAAATGCAAATGCTCTTGATGCTTTTCTTTTGGGTGGAATGCAATTTTCCAAATTTTTCAATTTTTTTTGGTTTTTCTATGCCATATATGCAAATGCGAAACTACATGAGACTCAAGGATGAAAATTGAAAATAAGATTCACAGAAAATAGGATCAAATGCTATGGACCTCTCCCCCAAACTTAAAATGCACAGTCTGTCGTGCATAAGAGAGTATGGAGAAAAGATCCATCATAAAGATGCAAAACAAAGAAAAATAAAAATGAGTGGTATTTACAAAGAGTTTGAGTCTGACCTTATTCGTTATCAGGGTAGGGTGGTGTGGGACACTCGTCAAGATCAATCGGCTAAGTTGAAGACGTTGGAGGTGGTGATGCGCCGGTTTTCCTCTTCCGCTTGCTTCTCCTTAACGCCGGCTCCACGGTTTTAGTTGGTGATGCGGCTGATCGCGGGATCAGGTCTTCCCCTTTCCTATCCCTGATTCTGCAAGTGCACAGGTCAGAAGTAGTAAACGGGTATCGAACACAAGGACCAGATTACACACTACAAGTTATGAGTTTGAGAACAAGCTAGGGCAAAAGTATGAGTTGGTTGAGTGCAGAGAAAGTAAAGCATGCAAGTAATTAAAAGTAAGGATTCAATAGGAGAGAAAGCTAAGCAATAGGATAGTCTTGAGATAAGCAATTCAAGAAGCATGAAATCAATCAATTAGCGTTACCGCACTTAGGTGCTAATCTAGAACTTGAAACACTATGGTATGATCATTCCACTGTCGAGGCTCCGACCCCTTTGTTAATCTACCTAGTCGCTAAACTTTTGGTATGTCCCTAGGTGATTAAATCAAGCATTAGTTCGATCAAGATCAATTGTTCACAACCTACAAGTAGATCAACTGTCGCAGTCTAAAAGAGATTGCCCACCAAATACTAGTTCAGGCGAATGATACAGCACTGTCGAGGCTCAAATCAACCTAAACCCTAAACCCGGGTCGTGATGCGTGATCGGCCGAGTGGTTTTGGACTTTGGCCGAGACTTCAGTCGGACGGACACAGTTTGGCCGAGCGCGGAACATTCGTTCCTCGGCCAGCCGGACTGCGCGTTCGGGCGCTGATTCTCGATAGAGCCGTCTGGAGCAGCCTTCACTCTTTTGGCTATAACTCCTTTTCTACTCATCCAAATGAAGGCCATTCCAGTTGCGTTGGAAAGTTAACTCAATCAGAGCACGCAGGGAACTGGTCTTGATGAAATCCATTGAGTAGATCTTTTTCTAGCTCCATCCAAAGTTGATGCAGGGCATTGAACTGGTTTGAGTCCAAATCTCCTGTTTTGCTCCATAATGCACCTTTTTACCTAAAATGACTCTTTGCACTATAAATCCATAAAAACTACCTTTTAACACAAGAATCCACTAGAAAACCATTAGAAAACCATAGTAAAATAGCATAAAAAGTAGGTAAAATAGAGGTATATCAACTCCCCCAGACTTAGATCTTTGCTTGTCCCCAAGCAAAAAGAATCTAAACTAGTGAAGAGGTTTTGAAAAACGTGGGAACTCTCTTGCTTCTTTGAAAATCCTGTGAAAGGTTCCTTTCCTGTATTCCACTAAGAACATAGTCAACATAAGGTTAGCTTCACATACACCCTGCAAGTTTAGCGAACAATACCAACCCAACTAGTCTCATCCAGCAATCCAAACTCTCTATTGCTAACCTCTTGCATAAATTTAAAGCGTGAGTTCTTTATCAAGGGAAATCGATCAATTGAACTTGTTCTTACCCACTTGATCTTCTCCAAGATTGTCTTTGAAGTGCAATGAGTTCCTTTTCCTCTCTCTTTCTCACATCAGAACTTTGAAAGGTCAATTTCTCCCTACTTTTCTAGGGTATCATTTTATTTTTTCTATTGACCTTCTTTCAACCACAGGATAAGTCTTTAGCTTGTTCCTTGTTTGATAAGGTATTCCATAAGACATGAAGGTACAGACATATGCATTCCTCATGCTTACTTGTTTTCCTTGTGCTCTTTGAGCTTTTCTCATAAACATTACTTACCATTTGGGATGGGAGAGAGAGGAGAACTCTTTAGACAAATCTCATTGAAAATCAAGCAAGGAACTGTCGACATGTATGCCAATCCCCTTGACAAGAGTTATTAAGATTGATTAAGGGTGAGGTTAACTCTAGATTGCTTGGTTACCTTAGAAATTTCGCTGAGCTAGCATGCGATCCACTGTAGGAGCTTCTGTTAGGCTTGTGCCTTCAGCTGATGTTTGCTCTAGGGTCATAGATTGTTAGCATACACTATCAAATCTCAAAGCAAGTTCATTGTTCCGGACTGGTTTTGACTCAATAAAACAGAAGTTTTGAAAAAGTGGGTTAGGAAAAACCAATTATAAGATCAAAACAACCATGAACAAACACATTAGTACCGACAATCCCCCCAGACTTAACTTGCACCGTCCCGGTGAAAGAAAATCCAATTAAGGGAGTTAAAGAAAGAGGTAATAAAGTGGTTGTGAATGTAAAAAGAAAGATGTAACCTGATTTGTGTTACTTGAAGAATGGTGAATGCAGTGGAATGATGGTAGTGATGGAATGCAAGTGTGGTGAGGTGGGATGGGTGAGATGCAGATGGAATGAGATGGGATGGTGTGTTGGGCGGCTTGAGAGGACATGGGCGAGCGTGGAGAGGTTCTGCTCGGCCATCTAAGTCGCGCCAACTATGAACATTCTTCTTGTGGTATATCTTCTTTACCATTGTGTGGTTCTTAGATTCCTGTTTCCAAAACTCAAAACAAAACTAGACATTAACTAAAACTAATTGAAAAGAAAAGTAAAGAAAAACACCTTTCATGGGTTGCCTCCCATGCAGCGCTTCTTTTGAGTCATTAGCTTGACTGATAGGATCTCTTAGTTGGAGATGGGGTAAGGGCACGGCCTGAGACATAGTCTTTTAGTTCTTGTCTCATTGTGACCTTGAGTGTGGTCTGGTGGCTCTCTTGGGCGGCCTTGGGCAGTGATGAGGTAAGACAGCTTGTTTGGTGCGATGAATGGTATGGTCTTGTAAAAGACTGTCTTGTCAACATTGGCTAAGGACATTCGCCGGTTTGGAAGGTCCATGACAGCTCCAGCAGTGGCCAAAAAGGGTCGGCCTAGTATCAATGGTGTGTCACATCCTCCTTGAATGTTTATGACATGAAAGTCCACCGGGATCTTGATATCTCCAATCTCTAGAAGAACATCAACAACAACTCCTCTTGGCTTGGCTATAGTATGGTTAGCAAGTCCAATACTAATTTGAGCAGGTTGCAAGCGTGTGATGCCAAGGAGTTTGGCGGTTTGGGTTGGCATGAGGTTTATGCAAGAGCCAGAATCGCATAGTGTTCTATCAAAGTAATGACCATTTACTTGACAGGGAATAGAGAATTGACCTGGGTCTTCAATCTTGTAGAGGGTCTTGAAGGTTGGCTGAACTTTAGCTTTCTCAAAAAGCTCTTTTATGTCCTCAGGTGTCTCCTTGCAGTTGTGGAAGAAGGTGGTGAATGGGTAGTGGCGCCAAGCTTTTGAAAGACATGCTGGCTGGAAGAGTTTGGACAAACTGATTGAACTCAGCAAGCTTCTCTCTTGATATGGAATTGACATACCACTGAGGTGGTGGTGATGATGGTGGTGATGGTGGTTGATTGACTCCATGAGGGGCAATGGGAAATCGAGCCTTCCTGAAAAGTTGGTGTATCTCTTCTTTGTTTTCACTAGTTGTGAAAAAGAACTCCACTAGACCATGTTTATCCCAAGCTTCTTCAAAAGTGACATAGAATGGAAGTGATTTCACCTTAGCATTGAACTCTTTAAGCTTCATGGGGCTTATCTTGTTGGGATCAATGGGATCATACTGCCAAGTATCTTCTTCTTCAGTAGGTGGTGATGGTCTTTGCATTGCTTCCAGTCTTGGAAGTGTAGAAGCTTGACTTCTTGGTGAGAAACGAGGGTCTCTAGGGCTTGGTGTATCCATGCTCTGTTTTGGGGAAGCATTGATGTCGATGCTCTGCTCTTCATCTTCATCATTCAATTGTTCCTCATACTCTCTTTCTTCTTCTTCATTGTCCTCATGGACTTGAGTAGTGCTTCTTCTTGTGATGGCATTGCAATAAAAGGGAGGGTGGTTGGGTGTTGGACTCCTCTCTCTCTTGTAATTGGCATGAGATGATCCTTCAAGGGCTTGTAGGCGGTTGTAGATTGATCCAAGATGTTTGCTATTGCCATAGCTAGTATCTTCAATTCTCATGCTCTTGTTCAGCAACTCTTGATATTTGGAAGCAACATCAAGCTTAACTAGGGTCAAAGATCGATCATGATCCTCTCTTAACTTCTTAATGTCTTCATCAAGCTTGATCACTTGCTTGAATAGGACTTCAGATTTGTTTCCAAGGCTCTCATGGATGAAATCGATTCTTCTCTCCATCTTCTTTGTACTCTCTTCTTGATTTCTCAAGTACTCTTGAAGCATATCTTCAATCTTGGTTTGGCGCGCAGCTTGGTAGCTCTCCCTTGGGAAAAGTGGTGTCTTGTTTATGTCTGGTGATGATGGATGGTGATTGTGAATAGCTTGGGCGTGGTGGTGGGACATAAACAGGACCTTTGGCAAATCTGTGAGGAAAGCTCCTTTGTATCCATTCCAAGTCTTGAAAGCATGTTGGGCATTGAACTTAGCCCAGTCTTTGGCTTGTCCAGCTAGAGATAGTTGGAAAAGTTGTATCTTCTTGGGGTTGTCTCCAAGTCCATAGTCATGACAAAGCTGCTCAAAGTTGCATAGATGCTCCTTTGCACATTCTGAAATAGAATTGTAGAAAGGATTCCTCTCCACATGCTTGATTAGCTCTTCATTCAGAACTTCAGGATGGGGTGGTATGCCTCCCCATTCTTCTTCATCACGCTCTCTCTCCAGCTGATGAGAGTAGTGGTGGTACTTGGATTTGAAAGGTGGTTCCTTGCAAATCCTTCAAGAAAGCTTCTCTAAAATCGATCCATGACTCGATTGTAGAGGTGGCTCATGCTGCGCCCAATCTAGTGCTGGTCCAGCTAGTGATGTGCTGAATAGCATCATCTTCTTCTCAAAGTCAAAAACTCCATAGGAATCACAAAGATTGTCAAAGTGATCTATGTGCTCCAGCGCATACTCTGAAAACAGATCATGGAATTGATCTCTCTTCACGAACTCGATCAGCTCAGGGTTAATCTCCTCTTCTGGTGTGGCTAGAAGGTACTCTTCTTGGTGTGATGCGGCTTGGCTAGACGTCTCCAGGTCGGCTGCTTCAAGGTAGGAAGAAGTTTCTTCTTTGTCTTCAAAGTGGATGGTCTTGGAGGACTATCCCATGAAGGTGGTGGTGCTTGAGGGCTTGAACATCTCTTGTTCGCTCAAGAGGTGCTTTGAGGTGGTATGTGGCGAATTGGCATCGCCTTTATAGGGGAAGAGGCTTGTGGCTCCTTCTCCATATCTAACTAGGAAAACCTGAAAAGCTAAAAACAAAAAGGAAAAACCAAAAAAGAAAAACAAAATCAAAGAAAAAAAAAAATAACAAAAACAAAAAGGAAAAGATGAAACCCTAGACTAGCTCTCTTGCAAGAGCTTGTAGGTGCGAATTGGTCCCCGGCAACGGCGCCAAAAACTTGATCGCGGGATCAGGTCTTCCCCTTTCCTATCCCTGATTCTGCAAGTGCACAGGTCAGAAGTAGTAAACGGGTATCGAACACAAGGACCAGATTGCACACTACAAGTTATGAGTTTGAGAACAAGCTAGGGCAAAAGTATAAGTTGGTTGAGTGCAGAGAAAGTAAAGCATGCAAGTAATAAAAGTAAGATTCAATAGGAGAGAAAGGCTAAGCAATAGGATAGTCTTGAGATAAGCAATTCAAGAAGCATGAAATCAATCAATTAGGGTTACCGCACTTAGGTGCTAATCTAGAACTTGAAACACTATGGTATGATCATTCCACTGTCGAGGCTCCGACCCCTTTGTTAATCTACCTAGTCGCTAAACTTTTGGTATGTCCCTAGGTGATTAAATCAAGCATTAGTTCGATCAAGATCAATTGTTCACAACCTACAAGTAGATCAACTGTCGCAGTCTAAAAGAGATTGCCCACCAAATACTAGTTCAGGCGAATGATACAGCACTGTCGAGGCTCAAATCAACCTAAAGGCATATGCTAATTGGCCAGATTAACAACAAGCATTAAGTATAAGCAAAGATGGAGATTATAAGTAAAACCCTAATTGTGATCAATCATCAAGCATACATGAATGCTATCCTTTGACTTCCTATCACTTAACAAGTAAACTACTCAGACATAGAGAAGGAAACGAATTCATATTCATAAGAACAGAGATTCGAATCCTCTCTAGAAAGAGTAACAAGCAAGAACAAAGTAAAAGCAAGCAAAACTTTATTAAGATGTAAAATAGATTGTGGTCTCTCTCCTTCTTGAGTTACAAGGCTAAAAAGAAGTATTTATAATGCTCTAAGTATAAGAAGCGGCTAAACCTAATCTAGCTAGGTCGGCGCCGGCTTTGGGCTTGAATTGTGCGGATTGGGCTTCAAAAACGGCTTCGGGTCGACCGCGGCGTTCGGACGGTCGTCGGGACGGTCGGCCGGACAGTCGGGTCTTTGGCCGAGTCGGAACGGTCGGGGCCGGATGTTATGACGGTCGGCCGGCGTGGTCGGACGGATAGAATTTGGCCGATGGTTTCTCGGCCGGACGCGGGATAGTTTCCCGGCTCGGACGGAAGCATCGGCGTGGTACGTGAGTGAGTTGCGCGGCCGCGAGGCGTTACTTCCCGGCTCGCGCGCTTTGGTCGTGCGCGGTTGTGGCGCGGCGGTTGTGGCGTGGCCGACCGCGGGCTTGAGTTTCCCGGGTCGTGATGCGTGATCGGCCGAGTGGTTTTGGACTTTGGCCGAGACTTCAGTCGGACGGACGGTTTTGGCCGAGCGCGGAACATTCGTTCCTCGGCCAGCCGGACTGCGCGTTCGGGCGCTGATTCTCGATATAGCTGTCTGGAGCAGCCTTCACTCTTTTGGCTATAACTCCTTTTCTACTCATCCAAATGAAGCCATTCCAGTTGCGTTGGAAAGTTAACTCAATCAGAGCACGCAGGGAACTGGTCTTGATGAAATCCATTGAGTAGATCTTTTTCTAGCTCCATCCAAAGTTGATGCAGGGGCATTGAACTGGTTTAGAGTCCAAATCTCCTGTTTTGCTCCATAATGCACCTTTTTACCTAAAATGACTCTTTGCACTATAAATCCATAAAAACTACCTTTTAACACAAGAATCCACTAGAAAACCATAGTAAAATAGCATAAAAAGTAGGTAAAATAGAGGTATATCAGCGGCCTTGGGTGCTTTAGGTGACTTGCAAGAGAGTTTCTCCTTGAGGACGTTGACCGTCTCGGTGAGCTTCTTGATCACCTCATCTTGTTTCTTGCACCACTTTTGAAGCATGCCAATGTGCTCGTGCGCCTTGATGATTGCCGGAACGCTTCCACTCGCGTTGTAAGGGATGAAGTCAAACTCGCCAAGCTCACTTGGTCGTCTCTCCGAAGTTTCACCTTCTTCTCCCCCTTGTTCTTCCTCAACCGTTGCGTCGCCTCCATCCATAAACAGTTGATCCGCAGTCGGGAGAAACAGGATTCCTTCCCGGGTGTTGGTGTTTGTGAGCTCAACGTTTGGTAATAGAACTTTTGAGATGCCGAATGTGGGATGCTCAAAGCGATACACATGCTTGCCGTCGTGCATTCCACGCAGAAACCAAGTCTTGTTCAGATAGGCGAGGTCCATAAACGTAGGCGGGTGAGAAGGAGCAGGGAGCTTGACTTTTGTGGCAAGGAGGATCGGAGTGATCAGGCTGCCAATCACTAAGTGTGCCTCCTTGATCTTGCCTTGTTCATAGGACAGCTCAGCATTCCTCATGACATGCATGAAGGAGTTCACCATCACAACTGCTTTGCTTGTCTGCCTCAAGTCTCCTTTTATTTCTTCCCCGTCATCCAGAGTTTCAAGCTTCTGGATTATGCCGGCATCGAGCAGCTCAAGCTCTTACGTTGTGACATTTGAGCCGTCATGTCTTGCAAAGAGAGTGTTGGCGATCACCTTGTGAGCGTAGCGTATGGCTGGGTTCTTGATGTGACCGCTCTTGTTCTTGGAAATCTGATAGAATCTTGAGCTTATCATCCTCCAAAGGGCATGGAGCTCTGTTGCTGGCACATACATCTTGGTGTCAAGGCCCCGATCCTCTTCTAACTTGTAAATGGTCTCCATCTTCAACATGCTGAACAGATGCTCTTGTCCCAAGAGCGTGAAGGTGATGTATCCGATCCCATCTCTCTTGAGCTCAGCGACTGCTTCTTGAGGATGCTTCTTGAGCTTCAAGGATGCGAGAAACTCTATCGCTGGTTCTCTGTACGCCGAGAGGGCTAGCTTCGTGAACTCTCCGAGCTCGGTGTAGTAGAGAATATCGTTTACATCCTCCTCTATTCCCAGCTCCCTGATGGTTTCCGGATGGGGGTAACGCATCGACATGAACTGCATTCTCCTCAAGTGATACAAGCAAGGCTATCACAATGCTTTGTATGATCAAGGACTCAAAGCTTAAGCTTTCGGATCAGGGTTGGATCGATTTGATTGAGCTTCTCTAATCAAATGGAGCCGTTGGGCGGAAGGGTTTGAATGATGTAGCGATGAGACTTTAACAACTTGAATCCACAAGCTATCTAAATCCGAGATGGAGTGAGGTGCACCACACAAGCTGTGAAAGGCTTATGATAAAACACAAAGGTTTCTTGGCTAAGGAGGGCTGGTCTCGACTTAGACAAAGAAATAAAAACAAGTTTGCTCAGAAACTTAGTTGAAGAAAATTCAGATTTTATTAATATCAAAGGTAATCATACAATGCTGTGAGAGGGGACTTTATATAGAGTCCAAACAGCTGTGCCCTTCAAGGGGTCTTTGAAACAGATTACAAAGATCAAAAGAAATAAATAAAAGTGCAACAATCTTGCTAATCAAAATAAAAATGAAAGGGAATAAGAGAAAACAAGAAATGGTTAGTCAAAGATCATAAAATGTGATTCAAAGCTTACCTTCTTTACCTCTAGACGTGTGAGACCAAGGCTGGAAAAGGAAAGTGTCGTTGGAGCTCTTTGACTAAGTATTCTCTTGGTTTAGGCGCCGGTTTCTTCCCATTCAATCTTGAAGACTTGGACTTGGGCTTTAAGTGAAAGAATCGGCCATTCTTCTTGGTTCCAAGAGCTCGGTCCCGCCTCATTTGCATCACTCCAAAGTTGTATTTGATTGGCCTCCATAACCGGTTGATTGGCTTCAATAACCGGTTGATCTTGTATCTCGATCATAATTGCCTTTTCTTTAGCCTTCTCTTGATCTGCCTTGAGTGTAGCTTGCCTTATGCTGTGATTGAACTTGTGCTGTAAGATCTTAGCTCTTTGTCTTATGATAGCTCCTTCATAGGCAGTGGTAACATTGACATCTTGCAAGTCTGGTTCAGTGAGGTCTGGTTCTGATAGTATGTCCTCATCATCAAGATACGGATGCGTTCTTGGACTCCATAAGGTCTTGGGATCATCGAGTCGTCCATGTCCTGCCCAGCAGTCTCTGGCCACTTCGGAGCTGATTCCTTAAACATCCCTTTCTTCCTCTTTCCACTATACTCCATCTTCTTCTTCCCCTCACGCTTTTCTTCTCTTGCCTTCTCCACATCCTCGCTTTGTGGCTTATTGGTGAACTTCGTTTTTGCCATTGTACCTGAGAGATAAACAATCCTCACAAGACAATTAGCCTCTGTTTTTAGAACAACCAAAAGCGAGAAATCTAAGTCAAACTCTCGGTTTAAACCAAATTCGATTTGTGCATTAAGAACGAACTCAAAACTTTTAAACACCACCGCTACAAGCTCATGTATAAGGAAGTTTTAAAAACATGCCGTGAATTACGAGATTTTTAGCTAGAAAACTCAAGAACACTTTGAATATCGAATCTCGAAATTCACTTCAGAGCACGAAATTTCCTACATGCAAACTCGAATTCGACCTACCCTAGTCACAATCAAGCTGGATCTACCCAAGAATAGTAACAAACAGGTTTCCTTGTGGAATTCCCAAAAAGGAAAACCGAAGTGAAAGAGTAAAAACGATGATCGAATACCTTGATTGGACTGTCGGATTAGATGAATCGAGCTAAACTTGATCGAGCGGCGGATTTAAAAGATTTGAGCTTTGAAATTCGAATTTTGGTTGAGAAACGAAGAAATCCGAGATTTTCGTGTAGAGAATCGGGAAAAAGCTTTTTGAAGAAGAAGAAACCCCAAGTTTTAAAATAAAGAGGAAAAAGGGTTTCTTTGGTTTTAAAAATTCAAAAAGAAACGGGTCACTTACTGACGCGGGTTGTCAATCGGGTTTTTAAACCGTTTCAGAACCTGATTGACAACCCGTCTGCTTTAGAATTCACCCGGTTAAGCTGAGATTAGAGTCAAAGGAGTTTGGATTGGGCAGTTGTCTTAAGCTCTTGGACAAGAAATGTCTTTATAGAACTGCCCATTTCCAACTCCTTAACTCTCTCTCAGCTCTCTTCTTGCTCCATCCCTACAAAACACATTAGATAAAAACAAAGCTAGATAAAATAAAACTATTTACAAAAGGATAACATGGGACTTCCTCCCAAGTGAGCTTGTTTTGAGTCCATAGCTTGACTTTCATTGCCTTTTTAGGCTTGGGGTGGATCATGGAGACGGATTGAACTTCCTTCTCCAATGCTTTGACTCCCATGTACTTCTTCAACCGGTGACCGTTAACCGTGAACTCGCTCCATTGTTGTTCACTAGGGTGATGGCTCCATAAGGCAACACTTCCTTGACCTTGAATGGTCCTGACCAGCGACACTTCAGCTTCCCAGGGAATAGCTTGAGCCTTGAGTTGTAGAGGAGCACATCATCTCCCTCTTTGAAAACCTTGGGAGTGATTCTCTTGTCATGGAAGGCCTTAGTTCTCTCCTTGTATATTCTCGAGAACTCTCATAAGCATCCAAGCGAATCTCCTCTAGCTCGTGGAGGTCCATTTCCCTCTTCTCCTGAGCTGTACTTAGCTCCATGTTTAGGAACTTATTGCCCATCTAGCTCTATATTCCAACTCAAGAGGGCAAATGGCAAGACTTCCCATAGATCAAAGAGTATGGAGATCTCCCAATTGGCGTCTTGTAAGCAGTTCTATAAGCCCACAAAGCATCATCCAATTCTCTGACCAGTCCTTCCTTGACGAGTTCACTGTCTTGTGGAGTATGGCTTTGATTTGCTTGTTAGATACCTCCACTTGACCACTAGTTTGAGGGTGGTATGGTGTGGCTATCTTGTGCTTTACACCATATTTCTTCAAAAGGTTCTTCAAACACCTTGTTCACAAAGTGAGATCCTCCATCACTGATCACACATCTTGGGACCCCGAACCTTGGGAAAATGATAGTCTTAACAGCTTGAGGACTACTTTGGCATCGTTGGTGGGTGCGGCTAAACAGAAATGAAAGTGAAACACTAAAGATTAGAGCTCATTCTTCGTTGGCATCGAAGAGAGAGAGAGAGAGAGAGAGAGAGAGAGAGAGAGAGAGAGAGAGAGAGAGAGAGAGAGAGAGAGAGTACATGGAAACGAGGTATTGCATTGAAGCCCACTCTATTGGGATTGTGCCCGAAAGGTAATTTCGGCACAAGTCTGTGCAAAGAAAAACAGAAACTCAAATATGAATTTTTCTCATGGGGCTTTCTTTCTGGAGGTTCTCTCGCTTCACGTTTTGTTGTTCTCTATCCATTCTCAGGTTTTGTTGTTCTAATACCCTGAGAATGGATAGAGATCAACAAAACCTGATGAGCTTGGTAACATTTATTGATAACAATCATGTTCTTTGAATAACTATTGGTTCAGATTCATAGGAATTTATGGATAATTTTTAACTTATTGATAATACTAATTTATTGAGTATTTTGGACGATCTTACTTATTTCAACAATCATATAAATTTAGAAAAATAAAATTATATACATATTTATTACCATTTATACAATAAGTAAAAAAAAAACTATATAAATTTTGCTTTCGTAAATAGTGAGAATAAGTACCTCCAAAAGTCTTTGAATTGATTGTGGTTTAATATTTTCATATTTCTATTTGACTATATTGATTTGAATTAGTAAAATTATAGCTAGTGTAAGTGTTGATTAAATTAAAAAAAAATATGTTTTTTTTGTTACTCATGAACCTCTTTATAAAGTTTTTTAATGGGTTAATCATGTTTTTGAACACCATACTAAAGTGAGTAAGATATACAAATATTGAATAATAAATTTCTGATTAATAGTTTCTTTTTTTCTAAAGTTTTAGCTTGTTGAACATATATTCCCTCCATTTCATAATAAGTGTCGTTTTGACAAAATAAATCTGTACTATTTAATGATGTATAGGGATGTGTTTTGAGTCTTAATACATCTATATATATCTAAATACATTGGGTAACTGAAAAGTCAAAACGACACTTATTATGAAAATGATGGAATATTTAATTGTGGAAACCCCTTAATTCAATTGTTGACTAAAATCTATATTATAATGAGTGGTGAACTCTCTCCAGATTGCGCCACCTCAGCTTTTCGATTTTGGTCTCAAGGGGACACCTGGCAGCGTCCTCTTTTTCTTAAAAACAAAAGAAATTATTTACCATCGCAATCCTTGCACATTATTTGTTTTACAAAAAAACCCCCCTTTTGGTTTCCTCTTCCACACCTAATCCTAAACCTAACGCGGAAACCGGCTCCTGCCCGCCGGGGCTTCCCTCTGATCTCGCCGTCTCCCAACCAACCGGCTCCTGTCCGCCTGTCATTGCTTCTCTCTAATCTCGATGTCTCTCAACCAACCGGCTCCTGTCCGCCTGTCATTGCTTCCCTTTGATCTTGCCGTCTCCCAACTGCAACTGCTTCCTCGACTCACCACGCACGTTGCCGTCTCCGGTTTCTCCATCCACGAAAGCCTCGAAAGACTGGCCAAAGCAATTACTCCTAATATATATATTTTTTTAAAAGCGTTAGAGAAATTTTATTTTCTTCCCCGTGAAATCGAATCCAAAGAAACCAAAACGCTTTCACATCTACCTTCGGCTGAGCCGAGACTCTTCACATCCCACCTCCACCCGTTACAGATTCCGGCAGTTAATGGCTGACTCCTTCATTTCTCCTCTCACATTATAAATACATCTCACCTTTGAATCTGTTCATAAATCATAAACCCCAAAAATTCGATTCCCGCAGACGCCACGGACCGCCGGTCACTCTCCTCACGAAGACGGCTCGCCTCCTGCGTCTATGAAGCGTCATGGCTTCATCGATCTCATTCGGAACTCAAACCTTCCTTTTGTCTTCTAATAACAACCTCTGTTTGAGATCCTCCGAGGGTTCTTCAGCTTCCGGTGGAATTTTTCTCGGAATCGACGCTCCTCAAGTCAATACAGGCTTCTTCTCGACAAACTACAAGATGTAATCCTCTGAATTTTGTGTCAAAGGAACATTTCTTGTCGTCTCAAGGGTACTTCCTCCGACGAGGGCACCAAGGTATTGAAAAACAAAGTATTGCATTCTGCTGAAATCTGGGGTTTAGTTTTGGACTTAAATGAAGAAATGAAGTGACATGATTTGGTGTGAGATTGATTTTGATCTGGACAAATTAGTAAAGAGAAACTATTGACGAACCTATTTGAGCTTCAGAATTTGCAGAAACCGGATGAAAAAACTCAACTTTGGACTCCTCCTTTCAGCTTTGGTTTGCATCCATGTGTCAAACCTACTCCTAAATACAAAGGTAACGAAAACAAAAAGCTTCATTTCAATTTCTGCTGGATCGATTTAGGACTCTGTTCATGAATAGGGAATTTCAGCTTTGATTTAATTTCAGGTTCATTTCTTTATGTTTGTATTAAAAAGCACAATTTTCCTTGTCTTTTGCAGAATTTACAGAATCAGATCATTATATAACAGTGAGAAGTAATGGTGGACTAAATCAAATGCGCACTGGTGTAAGTAAAATTAAACCAGGAACCATTTAAGCTCATGTTGTTTATTTTTCTTATTTAGTATGAATGTTTCATGTTACTCTTACAGATAGCAGATATAGTAGCTGTTGCGCACATTATGAATGCAACTTTAGTCATTCCTGAGCTGGACAAGCGGTCGTTTTGGCAAGATTCAAGGTATCTGAAAATTGTTTTATGGCTAACCTACACTTCTCTGACCTCAGTGCTCTATTGCTAACTTCCACGTCACTGTGCCTCAGTGTTTTTTCAGATATTTTTGACGAGGAACATTTCATCAAATCCCTGCGAAGAGATGTGAAGATTATTAAAAAGCTGCCAAAGGAAGTGGAATCTCTGCCTAGAGCAAGGAAGCATTTCACTTCTTGGTCTTCTGTAGGATATTATGAAGAAATGACACACTTGTGGAAGGAGTACAAGGTCTTAAAGCAATTTCTCTTTGAAAAAGGAATCTGCCTTTTTATTCATCTGCTCTGTACTCATTATGTAGCACTAAACTTGTAGATCATTAGCAATGTTATTCAGCTCTGACATAATAACAACAATACACGTTTACCTAATTCAGTGTTATGTTTATTGAGCATATTGGTTTCTGTTCTGGGGTTATTAAAACTGTGGAAGATCTGAGAGGTCTTTTGTGGGTAGACGACAAGAGTGGACAGTGCGTGGTTGTGTGGCAATTTGAATGCAACGAGTTTGTAGGGTATTGCAAGAAAGGAGATGATCATTACCGTGAGATTCCAACAAAGATCGGTGCCTATATGATATGGTACTCAAAGGTTACAGCCTTTACTTCCTTACGATACCTGACTACACTTCGACACCTGGATTTGTCTGGAGAAGATGGTTTCAAGGATGTGTCCGAGAACCACAAGGTTTCCTATGTGGACGCCAATATCGGTATCATTGGGATGAATATGAAAGACTCAGAACAATTAAGATCATCTCAGGTACCAATAGCATTGCTGTGACAACATCAGGAGAGGCTTTGTATGTCCGTAGCAAAGTTGGACAGGCCTAAGACGTTCCACGTGTTCAAGAGGGATCCTAAAGATCTAGACCCGAGTACCAACGACACAAGGCTTGTAAAGAAAAAGTTACTGTAAAGAACAAACTTGTTCATCAAGAAACAGAAACCCTCTTAGAGATTAAGTAACAATTTCCAGTTTTTTTAAAAAAAATATAAAGTTGAACTTCGGTTTAATATATTTTCTGGTTAATTTATCACTATATTAATATTTTCACCGAACATTTATTGATATATAAGAGACAGAATATTGACAATTAAAATATAAATAAAAAAAATTGTAATAGTCACAACCCGCGCATCGCGCGGACTTAACCTAGTGTTCACTAATGCTTTTAAATCATGAGGTAAGCGTTTTTTATTTCCAGAGAATGTGATTTCTACAGTTTATTAGAAGCTAGATGTATAAAGAAATTTTCAGTGCAAATGGAGTTGTTTATTTATTTGTTGTAATTGTCTCTCACACGTTATTAAAAAAAACCAGATATTTAATTTTAAGAATTATTGACAAAAACATAATGATTCAATTTTTATAAATCTCCCCAACAAATAAATAATCATATTTGGGTTTTTTTTTGGGAATCGTTAATTTAATTATAGAAGATTCACATATTTTGTGAAATTTAAAATTAATTTAAAATAAATCTTTGAAAACAGGTAATGGGTGAAAAATAAATTGATTCTTAAATGTTATACTCCCTCCGTTTCAAATTAGTTGTCGTTTTGACAAACTGTATATGCAATTATTTGGATGTATTTTGATGTGTTTTGAGTTTAATACATTTAAATAATTGCAAATACATTTAGTCAAAACGGCGACTAATTTGAAACGGAGGGAGTAATTCCTTAATTGTAAAAACACACCCATGTCTTGCAAATTGAAGCATCCAACTAATCATCGTTGGTTAAATAAATTCGGAACTTACATCTTCTGGAGATATTGAAGCTTGACCAACTGAGGCGGGAGTTTCCCAGGAAGGCCCATGGTCTTGAGAACTCTTGTGATTGTCCAAATGCAACAAAAAAATATTAGAAAAGAAGAGAATAAACGATTTAAACGAATAGAAGAATAAATAACAGTAACAATTCTGTAATATGACATGTCATGTTGTTGTTGAAGCCACAATTTTTACTAATGGTGCAGTTAACTTCCGGATTCGAAACATCAGGAAGTTTTTCTATTATGTAAGTGCAAGGGTCTCCATGACTCAATCCCTTGATACCAAGGGTTTCCATTATCTCTTCTAGCGCATACACTGCATTAATATAACCCAAAAAAAAAAAAAAAAAGAAGAAGATATTGATTACGTATTAAAAACACACGGATTTTGACTGTGGTTTTTTAAACTTAGAAGATGGAAATTCTTCTCATACATTCATCTGGATGAAGAGCAGTTAAGGAGGCCGATGTTGTTAGAGTTGTAAGGAAGCTTGTGATGATGGTGATGAACAGAAGAAAACTTGAGAAGAAGATGGTCATTTTGATACAAATTGTATATGGCGAATCTTTATGTGTATTTGTTTTGTAAATCACAATGTTATCATCAGCAAGCGATTCAATAGTTACTTATATAATACGGAAGCATGTTGTTTTTATTTTCAGGGTTTTCTTGGGTCGTCAGTGACTAGAGAGTAGATATACTTATCGATAAAAATTAATGGTGATGTCGAAGTTCTTGAGGTGAATTGAGATGTTCATGAATGCTTGATGTTTCATGTATGTACACTTAGCTCAATCAACACTGTAAGAAGTTGAACTATTCTTGCAGTAATTATCTACTCTAATTGTATTTTATGCAATTCATAGTTTTCTTACTAGAGAACCTTAAGTGCTTTTGTGAAAATCAAAATCTTAATTAATTTCATGCATGCTATCAGCAACAACAAAAAATAATAGTAAAAAGTGAAAAATGTTCCCAATTGGATCCGTTCCAACAACCATATCATAGGTATTGCTGAACTGAACTACAACCGAATCGTATGTTTTGCTTAATTATAACTGAGTAATCTTGGTCCTTAATCATATCACACTAAATTGAGCATACTGGAAGTTGGAACTATTCTTGTTTAAAGTATTTATAATGACCAGTTGAAATCGCAGTGGAAGGATGCGAATTCTGGTCTCCCAAATCTAAAATGAATATCGTAACTGTTGGACCTGGTTAGAATCGTACGATGTCATTGTCAATACGTGATACGAATACATAATTTCGTTTATTAAGGTTAATAATCCCTTATTGGTGGAAGTGAATTATATAACACTCCGACCTAACAACCAGAGCCAAAATAAATGAAGTGTTACTTTCCCCAGATTGATTGACTAGATATATGATAAATAGACTTGTCAAAGCCAATAACAAACACAAAATCACATCAGTTATATATCAGTTACTACAAAACTACAACAAGGAAAGCATTTAAAGTAAAGTCATTAGGACGAAGATTCAAAGTAAACGCAATGCAATAATAGTCAATAAGGAGACTCGTTAGAAGGACCTTTTGGGTTTCAATTTCCTTTATTAGTAGCTTTATCAAATTAAATGTTACCGAGTATTCCCTCCGTTTCATAATAAGTGTCGTTTAAGGTTTTCTCACACATATTAAGAAAACATGTTAAATTTTTTACAATACCTCTAATTAATACTCTCTCTGTTCTCTAATAAGTATCCTTTTAGGAAAAAAATTTGTTCACAAATAAGTGTATTTCTCACAAATCAATGCAAAAGTTTGTGATTTTTTGTTATTTTGACTATTTAAATTCTGCAGATTGATTTTTTATTGGTTGAATTGTATTGAAATTGATGATAAAACATGTTTTATTTTGAAAAAAGTAAAAATTTAATGATTTATTAATCTGTGTGCACAAGGTTAAAAGGACACTTATTGGAGAACAGAGGAGTATATTATAGAATTAAATTTATTTGTTAATTCAATAAATGAATGAGGTTAGATCTGTAAATTATATTAAACTTCTGCATTGAAAATGTAAAAGACAATTATAATGAAACAAAAATTAAACTTTAAAACGACATCTAATATATTATTTGCGAAGTCGAAATTTCGAATGGAGCAACGACATTCAATCTCAGCCGCGTAATTATAGAAATACCCTTAATGAATTTTTTTTTAATATCTTCACTTTATAATTAATTAACTATAAACTATACTTTTCTTAAATTTGGAAAATCTGATAAAATTAACTTTTTCTTTTCTTTTCTTTTTTTCTTACATGATAATGTCGGCATTTACAAGAAACCCTAATTTTCAAGACTTACATATATCTTTTAGAAGTTTCTTTTGTTATTATTTTCAACATTCAATATATTTTTATCTCCTCTTTCTCCTAAGTTTCGATGGATTCTTTTTATGTGTTATAATTCTTTATTAAACCATATGTCCGATTGTTCAGATCCAATATCAATTATCCAACACTTATTTACTATGGCCGTCTTGGTTTTAGTTGTGTTCCTGCATGGTTGTAATTTTAATATGTCACACTGATTTTTTTCTTATTACTTTGTTGCTGTTTTCTCCTTTTTATTTGGTTCGATGCGAGACTAATTTTTGGCTTTTTGTTTTAGTGTTTGCAGAGAAAAAATCATAACTATTGAAAGAAATAATCGGTTGTACAAGAAATACCAACAACAAAAAAGGTAGATGGTTTGATTTTGATACTTTCAACGTGTTTACGTTTAATATATATTTCATATGATATAAGTAACAATTAGAGTTTAAACCCTAATTGTTTTATCATACAGACCGTGCTTATAGTATATAAGAAGACCGTGCTCCAATCTATGTTGATAAATTCTTGAATTTCTTATGTTCTTAGAAATATTTCTCTATCTATATATATAAAGTTGATGTAATTCTCTTCTGATGGTGACACTTTATCCAAAAAAATAGGTTGCTTCTAAATTCACCAATTTGCCACATCACCATTATATTTATTAATTTTAATTTATTATATTTTCTCTTCTTATATTTTAATTCTTTATCATCATTCACTAATATAATCATTAAATAATATAACAGTTTTTGGAAGAATTTGAAAAGTCATTTTCATAAAAGAAAAGAAATACTATGTATAAATCTTAAACAACTATTATTTAATAATAATAATAAAAAGAAAAAATATTTTATACAAAAACACTGTTTGTCAATAGTATTTTTGGATGAAAAGATGCGAGATTGAATAGGACGAGATGAAAAAAAATAGAATCGGAGAAGAAGGGAATTTTGTTTACTTTTTATGATATTAAGTGACGAGACGAGATCTAAAGGAACGGAAAAGAACGGAATAGGACAAGACGAAAATTTTGCCTACCTCTTATTATATTTAGGTGTCGAACGGAAAAAACGAAACAAAAACATGATGAGAGAGGACAAGACAGGAATGTAAGACACGACAAAATGAAAAGAAATGAAATGTGACGGGACTAGATGGGATGGGATTGGACGGAACGAGATGAGAAATAACATATTGGGACGGAAAAGGATGGGATGGGAATTTTGCCTATCCCTAATTATATCTGGAGACGAGATGAAAAAAAAATAGAATCGGAAAAGAGGGGAATTTTGTTTACTTCTTACTCCCTCTGTCCCACAATGTAAGCAGTTTTGGGAAAAAAAATTGTCCCACAATATAAGCTGTTTACTTTATAGAATACTGTGTACCCAATTAGATTACACAGTTTTTTTCAGCATTGGTTAGACAATTTATTATTTATTTTTTAAATGATATTTTATTTAAAAAGTTACTTGTCTTAATTTCTCACTTTTGTCCCACACTGCTTATAATTTGGGATAGAGGGAGTATGATATTAAGTGACGAGATCTAAAGGAACGAAAAAGAACGGAATAGGACAATACGGAGATTTCGCCTACCTCTAATTATATTTAGGGGTGGAACGGGAAAACGAAAAAAACATGATGAGAGAGCAC